ACATACATCAGTGTATCAGAGTTTTCAGGCGTCCACACGGTGCCGGATCAGATCTGTACTGAGGTGAATTCGTTGGAGCTGGCTGCACCAGATCGTTCCGTCTCTGGAGCCGTTTTCCATCGGATTAGTGTGGACGAACACTGCATCCACAACGAAAACGACTCAAATATGTACTATTGTGGACGAGGCCAAACACACAGAATTTTGGACAGTTTTCAGCATTAAATCATGGTACTTTCTTTTCTATTCTCATGTGGTCTTATTATTTTTATACTTCTTCTGACAGAGCTCAAGATCATTTTAAAAGCTCTTCAGGACAGGTTCATTTCTGTCCATTTCTGTTTGTCAGGTTATGAAAATTCGACGGCAAACGTAAACGCTTCATATAGATTTAATTATAACCATAAATACTTCATATAGTATCAGTTTTAATTGGAAAAAATCGACAAAATACCAAATGCAGACGTGTTATTATTTGCCAAAAAGGAGTTTAAAAAAAAAAAATCGGCCATGAACTTTTGAGGATTGCTTCACGGGGGCAGGTTCAAGCGGTGGGGGCAGAGGGGCGTGGAAGGTCAGCGTCGGCTTGTGGACCTCAGTTTGACGACCCCTGCTCTAAACAAACAACAAAACCGTAGCTCTGTAGCAATAAAAATCTAAATAATTTACAATAATATACCAAAAAAATACAGTTTCCTCACATTAAACGACGCGATATATTGATATTTTGATATTTTTGCACGTCTCTGTTTAAAAAAATCCAAAGAAATGAGTCCGGATTCGCCTAAATAAGTTGTAAAAAGCCTGAAAAAGTCTTCTATAGGCTCCTAATTGCCGTGACTTTGACCAATGGGATTAAGCGGCCTCCTCTGTTAACCTTTACAATAGCAGAACCTCCCCGTCACTCCCCCTCGTTTTAACCCGGACGCAGGGGGACGCGGGGAGGGTGTGTGTGTGTGTGGGTCTTTTGTACCTCCTCCAGCCTCTCCAGCCTCTCCAGCAGTGACAGATAACAACGCCCGGCAAAAGGCATTCGAACGCGGGGCTCTCGGGACTGCCCTGATGAAGATTTATGCCCAAATTTAGCTCTCCTTTCCCCCTTCCGTGCTTCATGTGGCCCCCTGGTTTTTGTAGCGCTGATGGAGCCGCTGGTTCTAAATGTGTTACATGACAAAGCACTTCCTGTTCGGGCTTTTTGATTTTTTTTTTTTTTTTTCCCTCTTCGTTTTTCCGAGAGGAGGACAAATATCGTAGGAGTTTTGTTCAAAGAAAAACAGAGCAGTGAATGTGTGGAGATGTGTGATGGTTGGCTCCGGGCCCCGCTCTCCTACATAAATTCAGAGAGCTCAGGTTACGGCCAATGTAACTGGACTAGGCTCAAAAAGGGGAAATCTCACTGTCACATTTCAAGACAAAGTGCTCCAGAAGAAACATTTTTTAAAAGAATAATTTTTACATTACGTTTTTGGAGTTAAAGGTTCTATATTTCACAAAACGGATTCTTTCTCCTGAGCTTTAAGTCGTGTTAATATGTCGTTACGTCATCAAAACAAACCCGGAGTTTTGTTTTGTTTCATTCGCATTTACAGGACGTTACTATACGAGCTCTGTCAGGTGCGCTGATGTTACAGTGAATAAATCTCGCTCTGAACTAGGGTCGGGCGGGCGGTATCCAAATTTTGATACCGTGAGACCGTCTCAGGATTCTACCGGGGTATACAGCATTACCGTATTACCAAAACGTCAGCGTTTACGTGCGTAATCTCGCGAAACCACAGCGCGCGAGGGCAGCTCCACCGGCAGCTGCAGCCGGACGTACACGCGCAGCACTGACTCTGTGTTTGTCAACGGGAAAGACGATCAAACTTGACTGGACGCTTTTAGTCGCTTGTATCAGGTCCACAGTGAAACTAACAGATGAACAGACTTGTATTTACCTTGTGTACAGAATCACCAGGGCAAACGCCAGGATTTCAAAAGTAAATTTACTAACAGTATTTGTGGACCTGGGCTCTTTCACACAACACAGAACTGCCCCAGGTGCATGTTGTGCTGATGATAAATGCACAAACACAACCAAAGATTCATGCTCTTTGTGTATTTTGACAGGGACACGCGCCTATGCTCGTGTAGAGGGTCAAAAAAATAGGATAGATCCTATATTCTGAAATCTATGCGAGCAGGACGTGCTGCTCCGTACGCGCGCCGCCCTCATTCACTTTCCATGCGTTCTAAAAGTTACGCGTCCAGAAGTTGTAGTTTTTACGCTCGTGTAGGGCGAAATACGCACATGGAGTGGAGCCAGGTCCGTAATCTCTGAAAAGTTAAAACACGAACCGTCTGCAACGCGACACACACAGAACAGACTCACCGTCAGCCGCAACATCCTCTGTCGCAGAAAAAAACATATATTCCACTGAAAAATCAGATGTAATCGGGCTGTGGCTTGGTTCAGTTTTGCCGGTGTGCGTCCGGAACATAGAATGTGCTCTAAAAAAAATGTATATATATTTTTTATAATAACAACAAACTAGTATATCCAAATCCACTTTATTTCTATAGCACATTTTACAAACAAAACAGTTTCCAAAGTGCTGCACAGAGATCATAAAATGAAGACAAAGAAAAGGTAAACTCCTAAAACAATAAAACCAGTAAAAGCAAATAAAAGCAAAACTGCAGCGTTAAAAGCCGGAGAATGAGTGGGTCTTAAGATGAGACTTTAAACTCTCCGCTGTAGGGGATGTTCGGACGTGAAGAGGCAGATCGTTCCAGAGTTTGGGGCCGGTCCACCCTGGTTTTAAGTGTCGTCTTAGACTCCACGAGCTGGAGCTGGTCCTCAGACCTCAGAGCTCTCGCGGGGGTGTACATTTGAACGAGGTCCGTGATGTAACTTGGGGCCAGTCCATTCAAAGCTTTAAAAACCAACAATAAAGTCTTAATATCAATGTGCTCAGGTTTTTTGGTTCCAGTTAAAAGGCGCGCAGCAGATGTTTAATACATGCATTTCTACTGCTTTTAAAGTTTAAAGAACAGGTTTTAGGTTATGTCTTCAAATATTTAACTCGACTAGACTCAAAAAAGGAACCAAAGTACTAAGAGGTGTCTTGTGCTGCTTATTAAGGTTTTGCGTCCGTGTCACGAAACCACGCGACCTGGTGTTTGTGCCGCCGTATTGGAGGTCAAACTCTCCATCTGGACCAACGTTTGAACTGAATAACGATGGTTTTGACCTGTGCTGCTGTTGGAGGTTCTGACCTGCTAAAGAAGGAGGCCAAAGTATCTTTCTGTCAGATCCCGGCTGATAAAGATCGCAGACAAAGGTGGAGAGCGACAGAAAAAGAGAGGGATGGAGCCACTGAGTACAGTCGTCTGTGCAGTCAACATTTCATTTCTAGTGAGGAAACCACCTGAACACAAACAAAGACGGAATTTACAGTAAATGAAATGATAAATACCAAAAGAATCTGTGTATCATTCATTCATTAGTTTTTCAATATAAAACCAAAAATAAGAAAACGAAAAACAACAGTTTTCTTCATTATTTGTCTCCAAAAACAAAATGAATAAAACGGATAATGATTCGTTTTTTTCAGTTTTCGATTTTGTGTTTAAATAAAAAATGGAAAAAAAAAAAAAAAAAAACGGATAACTGTAACGGTTTCCCGTTTACGTGATTTCTGTGACTGCGATGCCAGACTTTTGCACCTCATACGGACTGAACCAGGACTGATCCAGGTCCGGGACCAGACCGGGACTGAGACCGGGACCAGACCGGGACCAGACCGGGACTGAGACCGGGACCAGACCGGACCAGACCGGGACCAGACCGGGACCGAGACTGAGACCGGGACCAGACCGGGACTGAGACCAAGACCAGACTGAGACCAGTCCAAGACTGAGATCAGAACTTGAGATCGGGACCAGACCGGGACCAGAACGGGACTGAGAACGAGACCAGACCAGGACCAGGCCGAGACCAGGCCGAGACCAGGCCGGGACCAGACTGAGACTGAGACCGGGACTGAGACCGAGACCAGGCCGGGACCAGACCGGGCAGGTCCAGAGCTCGAAGCTGAGGCTCGGACCCCACGGAGGATCAGAGTCAAAGCTCGGAGTCCACTCTGGTCCAGCCCTGGTCCCGGTCTGGTCCCGGACCTGGATCAGTCCTGGTTCAGTCCGTATGAGGTGCAAAAGTCCAGCATCGCAGTCACGGACGTCACGTAAACATTATCCGTTTTTTCCATTCTTCATTTAAACACAAAATCGAAAACTGAAAAAAAGAATCATTATTTGCTTTTTCATTTTTGTTTTGGAGACAAATAATGAAGAAAACTGTTGTTTTTTCATTTTCTTATTTTTGGTTTTATATTGAAAAACGAATGAATGATACGCGGATTATCCACTTTCTCCAGATTATGTCCCATCATTATTCGCGTACACTCCATCGCCAGTGAAAGACAAAGCAAAACATTTGCTTATTTCCTGTGAAAGAAAATCTAACATGAAAAGACAGATACTGGAGGTTGGACACAAACGCTCCATCGACAGTGATCTGTTCCACAACCCAGGAGGATGATTTTAGCTTTATACCTTTCTAATGATGCTGATCTAACGAGCTGGCAACAGTTTTATGTCGTTTGTGCAGTTTAAAGTCGCCGTGTTTATATTGTAAAATGAAAAAGACCATACGGATCGACCCCAGTCTTGACCTCCAGTATCACGTGACTCAAATCCTCAATACCCGGATGATAAAACATATAAATCTTGTGTTTAGTCAGTAATAGAAATGATCGGGCTTTGGTTATTTCATTTCCAAGATGTAATTACAAACTAAACCTGTGTCTTTCCTCCATCTGGACTTCATGACATCATTACTTTGTACAATCTGAAAACCACACACAGCTCTGCTCTCTCTCCGATTGCTTTCATAAATGTTCCAGTGGATCTCGTCTTTATTTCTGTTTGTTCTTTTTGTCCGTGTGTGCGTGTGTTTCCAGGACGAGCCCTCCTTACTGCTGCGCTGACCTGTACTCGCTGAGGACCGGAGAAATGGTCAAATCCATTCAGTTCAAAACTCCAATCTACGACCTGTACTGCAACAAACAGTAAGTGTGTGTGTGTGTGTGTGTGTGTGTGTGTGTGTGTGTGTGTGTGTGTGAGAGAGACGCAGGCCGCAGCTTTTACACTGGGAGCTCGGAGCGGGTTTATAACTGCACGTGTGTGTTTCCTGACAGTATCCTGGTGGTGAGTCTGCAGGAGAAGATCGCGGCCTTCGACAGCTGCTCCTTCACCAAGAAATTCTTTGTCACAAGTGAGTGGAAATAAAACACGTCAACTCTGCTTAGAAAATAGCCTTTAAAGTTTTAAGATGCACTTGCCACGTTTATATGAGAGCTTTAATTCAGAATAAAAATCATTTAATTCCGCTTTAAAAAGACCATGTAAACACTTAATTCCTAATGAAAATGATTGAATAATGAAGCAAGTGGCTGCTTTATTCCGATTTTAAAGCCAAATTAATTAATTCCTCGATCGTGTACACGGTTATTCTTCTTAAAAATAATTGCATTCGTTCAGTTCCTGCTTCTGACACGATCCGGACGATCCGGCTCCACCAATCCTGGTTTCAGATTTCGCACTTTCCTCCACGTCTCTTTGGATTTGTGAGCGGGATGTGGGAGTGGGCTGAGGTAGAGCAGCCTCACACTCACTTTGTCTTCTCCCTCTCTTCTCCGACGCTCTTCCCTTCTCCTCCTCAGCCGACAGACGGAAAGTGTGATGAGACAATTCTCCAGTTGCTGCTTCGCAATTATCATTGTGCAATTCACAACTCAATTATCACTGCGGAAAAAGTTTGGATCGTGTTTGTGTCCGTGGTGTAACGACAAACCGAGACGACAGAAAAGCCGGTCGCAGCTGAAGTGTTTGTTTTCTTCAGGTCGACGTAAATTCGTTTGTGTCTCTGTCCAATCAGAACCTTCCCCAGACGCTGAGACACATTAAATAAAGACGATTTAACGAGTTTTCCATGTAAACCGGCAAAGTAAACACCCCGTTATAAAAGAAGAGGACATGTTTGTCCACTAAATCACAATGATTTCTCAGGTAAATCCTTGTAGCAGCAGAACTTTTGGGCAAATAAACCAGAGAGAATAAAATATCAAAAGTAAAATATGCACGATGACTGTTGGTGTTATTCGAAGTAAACTTTAAATTAAATTTTGGAAATAGAGGTCAAAATCTGTTCTTTTGCCTCTAAAACGGAAAAAAAATTATTAAAAACTTTATTCCCATTGTATTGGTTTTTGTTCTTAGTTGAAATTTGAAACTTCTCTTTGATAAATTCACTCAGTCTTTAGTGTGGACTCTGAACTTAGTAGAAAAACTGTGCTAACGAGAGAAGTTTGACGACAGCAGTAACAGCGCTCAGACTTTGTTTACTCTGCAGAATTAACCATGTGCCCCGAGGATGAGCGTCTTTTTACAGGTCGCACTGTGGTAGAAAGTAACTTATCATCAGAGTCTTTTTATATTTGACTCACTTCATTCTCAGAATCAAATTTATTCTTCCAGATTTTCTTTTGCGATAGCCTTTAACTCTTTCCCCCCTGGACGCCTACTAGGAACAACCCATACATATGTTACTAGGGCTACACCCATAGAGCATAATTGCATAAAAGAAAACCGACTTCCACGAGTGATTTCAGGGCAATTTTGGTTCATAATCGAGTATAAAGCCCGGATAGTTTGTTTGGACATCGCAGGACTCCACACAGACGCATCAGCGGCATTCTCATGTTCGTAAGATTCAAGGTTGTATGGAGGATTTTTTTTAGTTTCAAATTGTCAGTGAAAGATTAAAATACCATTACAGAGACGCAGCAGCCTTGTAATTATGATGACCAAAAAAAAAAAGAACGAAAATCTATCAACTGTGGACGTGTTGAGGCCAGATAAACATCAGCCAATAGAAAATGAGGCTCCCTCATTTTCTATTGGCTGTTAGGTTGTCAATCAAACTCCCTAGTATAACTGACTCGTCGGAGCGCGGGGATTACGTGGTTTACGCAGCGGTTCTTAGAGGCATTTTCGAACTGTCGCTTCCTCGCATTTCGCACAAAGTTTGTCGCGACGGCGGACGAGAATCCACGACCATTTCGCCGCAAAAGAAAGTCCGTTTTTGAGGTCGCTGAAAGAAGAAGAGAAGTGGAAAAGTAGCAAAGCCAAACTGAGGTGATTCTTGGAGATCTCGTCCAGCGATGGCGCGACCGAAGCAGACGAAGGGTCTAAAAACTGACGCGTCGGTCGCTGAATTACTTCTAGACAGGAAACTTCAACAGTAATTCTGAATGCGCACAAGGACTGTCGCTGTATTTCTCTTCCCTTAAAAAAATCCTCTATACAACCTTTCACTCTCTGTAAGTCCGTCGCTGTCGCTGTTTTCCACTTTATAATCACCCTCATCATCACTTTGAAATCTATAAAAGTCACTTTCTCTAAACTTATCCATAAAATACGTCCGCTCCTCATTATTTCTAAAACTGTGCGCCGCAGCGAGATCTTTCCATTGCTCGTGTTTCATGTTGTGTTTTTTCCGGAAGCTACAATCGTCACTACTTCGATTAACTTCGGAAAAAATCGGCGAAAATATGGTCAGTCTAGTGTGGGTTGTAGGGCCCCCACCTATCGCAGTCTCTGTTTAAATGTGAAAAACCGAGCCATTTCTAAAGGTCGTCAAATCACGTCTTTAGTGATACAGCGGAGGAGTCAAAAGTCGTCATTAAGGAAACAGGGGGGTCGTCAAATGTCGTCTTCATGGGGGAAAGAGTTAAAGGTTGTATAGAGGATTTTTTTTAAGGGAAGAGAAATACAGCGACAGTCCTTGTGCGCGTTCAGAATTACTGTTGAAGTTTCCTGTCTAGAAGTAATTCAGCGACGCGTCAGTTTTTAGACCCTTCGTCTGCTTCGGTCGCGCCATCGCTGGACGAGATCTCCAAGAATCACCTCAGTTTGGCTTTGCTACTTTTCCACTTCTCTTCTTCTTTCAGCGACCTCAAAAACGGACTTTCTTTTGCGGCGAAATGGTCGTGGATTCTCGTCCGCCGTCGCGACAAACTTTGTGCGAAATGCGAGGAAGCGACAGTTCGAAAATGCCTCTAAGAACCGCTGCGTAAACCACGTAATCCCCGCGCTCCGACGAGTCAGTTATACACTAGGGAGTTTGATTGACAATCTAACAGCCAATAGAAAATGAGGGAGCCTCGTTTTCTATTGGCTGATGTTTATCTGGCCTCAACACGTCCACAGTTGATAGATTTTCGTTCTTTTTTTTTTGGTCATCATAATTACAAAGGCTGCTGCGTCTCTGTAATGGTATTTTAATCTTTCACTGACAATTTGAAACTAAAAAAAAATCCTCCATACAACCTTTAAGTAGATTTATTTTTTGCTCTTGTACTGTAACAAAACGAAGTAGCCTAAGTCGGCCTGGTGTCAGTATCGGCAAATACGCTAAAGTCAAGTATCGTATCGGCACAGAACCCAAAACAATGATATCAGAACAACACTACTAATTACAGATGGCAGCTTTAAAATCTCAATTGGTTTTAATATTAGACACGATCCTGAGTTAAAGTGTAATGTGTGAAAATCCAGTTGTGTTTATTCCGGTCTTTGGTGAAACATTCTTGTGGTGTTTTTATAATGTGAAAACCCGTTCTTCCACAGATCAGCGTCAGTGTCACAGATAAACCAGTTAAACTAAACCTGAACAAAAAGACCTAAGAAGACGTCTTTAAGATTTAACCTTCATTATTTGAGTCCCATTAGTTTGAATTGAGGGATTTCTCCTCCAGGACTAAACCAGGACTAAACCAGGACTAAACCTGAACTAAACCTGAACTAAACCTGAACTAAACTAGAACTATATCAGGACTAAACAACACAAAACAAGCATAAAACCAAGACTAAACCAGCACAAAACCAGGACTAAACCAGCAGAAAACTAGGACTAAACCAGGACTAAACCAGCACAAAACTAGGACTAAACCAGGACTAAACCAGCACAAAACTAGGACTAAACCAGGACTAAACAGCAGAAAAACTAGGACTAAACCAGGACTAAACCAGCACAAAACTAGGACTAAACCAGGACTAAACCAGCACAAAACTAGGACTAAACCAGGACTAAACCAGCACTAAAACTAGGACTAAACCAAAAGGACTAAACCAGCACAAAACTAGGACTAGGACTACTAAACCAGGACTAAACCAGGACTAAACCAGCACAAAACTAGGACTAAACCAGGACTAAACCACCATAAAAGTAGGACTAAACCAGGACTAAACTAGAACTAAACCAGAACAAAACCAGGACTAAACCAGGACTAAACCAGGACTAAACCATCTGAAGTCATTGACCTTCAAGTCCAAGTCAAGTCTCAAATCCTAAAAATAGTGACTCAAGTCCCCCACCTCTACTGTGGTATCAAACTGGTATCGGTATCGGCGATAAAGCCAAGAATCGGTATCAGAACAACACTAAAATCTCGATTGGTTTTAATATTAGACACGACCCCGAGTTCTTCTCTTCGGCGAAACTTTCTTGTAATGTTTAGTAAAGTGTGAAAGCCCGTTCTTCCACAGATCCTTGTTTTTTGGAGAGCTGCTCTTGTGTTCGGCGTCGGCGTCACAAATAAAAACATCCAGATTCTTGAGGCGTGATGCAGCCAGTGTGATTTTAGACTGTCAGGCTGGCGTCACACAGCCCAAACAAACTCCAGAGGCCAACGCAAAAAAACTACTGGACCCGAGTCAAGTACCACACGGCGTAGACACAAGCCCCGGAGCCTCTCCAGGGCTCTTCTGTCCAAATGTAAACAAAGACCCACTTTCAGTTTACGCCGATGACTTTTCACACCACCTCGGTAAACTTCTGCGGCGCCAAAAATCAAGTCACAGCTTTTCTACGGGAAAGATTCAAGATAAACTAGGAATGAGAGAGGACGTGTCGAGGACTGAAGCGGGACTAAAGGCGGGACTGAACCGGGACTGAACCAGGACTGAAACAAGACTAAAGCAGGACTGAAACAGGACTAAAACAGGACTAAAACAGGACTAAAACAGGACTAAAATAGGACTAAGGACTAAAAACAGGACTAAAACAGGACTAAAAGGACTAAAAACAGGACTAAAACAGGACTAAAACAGGACTAAAACAGGACTAAACAGGACTAGAAGGACTAAAAGCAGGACTAAAACCAGGACTAAAGCAGGACAGGACTGAAACCAGGACTAAAACACAGGACTAAA